GCAGCACTTACTAATGGAGAATGTAATGTTACACTACGAGCAATTAGATAAAGACGTCCAAACACTTTAATAATCAAAATTTATGTAAACAAAAAATAAACAAATAAATAACTTACTAGGTAATGTCATTATCATATTAATCCAAGCTAAACCATTGTCTGATGATAAGTATTTTGAAACATAAGGAAGTGGATGAATAATACATATCATTATTTCACAAATAACCATCATAATACCACGAATTTTTAATGTTACACGCCAATCAGCAATATGATTATTAATAGCATATAGACGAATATCAAGAGAATGATAATATATAACAAGTCCAACAAGAATTCCTGTAGAAATACTTATCAAAGGACGAATCATAATAATATTATTTTCATAAACTTGATCAAGTCGACATTCTGTATCGATTATCATTAAAATAAGACCAAATAAAGCAAAAATACACATTATATCATTAACACGACGACATCGAAAATGAAGTTCTTTACGTTCGATTAAACTACGTTTCATTGTTAAAACAGAATTTTCTTCATTAATAAGTTTTTTCGAACGTAAACCAGACATTGGAATAACTTCAGTTAATTCTATTGACATTACAATATTATTCTTTGTTAGAATGTTAGAATGACACTTGGAAATAATATAATAAGAGAAAAGAATACTACACAATGCATGTCACTTTCTTTTTTTTTTGTTTATAGAAAAGAAAAACTCATCTCCGTTTTTGATTATCATTATATGTGTTAATCGAGAGAAGTCATATCTTCTCAAGAGAATCAAACTAATTTAGATATTGAAAAATAAAATAAGAAAGAAAATGGTTTCTTTTAAAGAAACAAAACCAAAAAAGAAATCATTTTAAAAATATGAAATGAATATCATTATTTTCTCCTCACACATTCAAGATAAGAATTATAATGAATCCTATTAACGACATTGTTTTTTCTTCTTCTTCTTACATAATGATTATAATATAAAAGTAATTATAAAAACAAAAATGTTTCTTTTGTCTCTCTGTTGACTGAATGAGAATATTTATTGTTACTACACATTAACTAGAATAAAATGTTATAACCTATAATGTAAATACAAGTTTTTATCAATCGAATGAATATTTACATTATTCTTTATTTAAAAATCTCTGATCCTTTCGAGTTATATAATATAACAAAAAAAAAAATAGAATGTATTTCGAATCAATGGATTAATATGATCAATGATGTGTAATAATATGAGACATATATTCAATCGTGAGATCAGACTCATAATCTGTGTAAACTGTCTGATTAAATGAAATTTATGTAATGCGATCAATAGCTAAATAATTATCTATAGTCGAAGTTTAACTTCAGTAACCAACATATACCCTAGAGAAAAGAAATAAACATTTATGTAAAAGTAGACAATCAGTTTATGATGAAAGGCAAATTGATAGATATTACTGAATAATTCGTAACTAATCACAAAGACAAAAATGCAACTAAATATCTTTAGATATAGTTTAACTTGTATTTTTAAGTTTTTTTTGGGGTACAAATTAAATAGTCAGTTTTTTATTCAGAATGATCAGTAAAAGGCGATCAGTAGTTTATTGTGAATTATCAATAAAAAATTTGAACTATTAGTAGAATAATTAATGATCAGTGACTTCTGGATTTAATCAGTAATTTAATCATTTTAACAGTAAAATAATAGACTTATCAGTATCTAAACTAAAATATCAGTAGTTAATTATGTTTGATCAATGAATTATCGCATTTATATCACTTTTCAACGTTCTGTAAGTATATTTACCGATCGTAATTACTGACATTCTACATTATTCACTGCTCACAAATGATATGTTTACTGATCAAAAAATACTGATCATTCAGAATGAAAAACTGATCATTTAAACAAGTAACGCTCCTCCGAGGAATCGCTTAGCTCTTTCTCGTAGAAATCCATTTTCTACACCTTTACTGGAAAAACAAATAGAAAACTGTGAAAAAATTAATTTCGATGTTTTTTTGGCCTTTGAACTCTTGTCTCCACCCTCCACACAATCAGTAAATAGACCTCAGATTCGAACTCCCCGCATCGAAGAACCTCTAGAAATGTGTTTTCCAAATATTTGATTTTCGATGTTTTTTTGACCCTGCGGACACACAAGCAAGCAAGCAAACAATTTATGTCTACTGGACTCTTCTCTACGAGAAAGAGAATAAGACTTTTTTTTAAATAGAATATTAAAATTCTTCGAATTTCTATTAAATATTTACTTTTAATTCTTTCATAATAAAATATATTATGTCATATTGTTCTTACTATTTATATTTTAAGTGAAATAGCTAATATTTTTTCTAGGATTAAAATATAACCAAAAGCAAATAAACGATAATATTAGTCGATAAAGAACGTTTATCGTTCATCGATTATTTTTAGAATTAATTTTCATTGAGCTTTTCCACTTTTAGATTTTTCATAGGATAAATAAAGTGCTTCTACATCGTCTTTTCTCCAATCGAAAGTGGTATCAATTACTGGTTTAACTCTGTTTGTTTCTATATAATTTATTCTAAGATCATCAAGTTGATGATATGATCTGCGAGTAGAATTCCAAATATGATTATGATGTGCAGAACTAAAATAAAACCAAAATTTTCGATTAATTATACTTGCTGCAAGATTAATAAAATATTTAATTGAGATATTAGGTTTTGTATCATCACCAACGAGAGTAATAAATTTTCCATATTGTTTTAAGATTTTTTGTGCTGATATCCATTGTTCTATACCACCAACACAATCATAAACAATATCATAATTTTCACCTTTCAATTCTTCACCAAAATCTTTTTCATTATAATCAATAACTAATATTTGTTCTTGTTCATTGATTAATTCAAATTTATTATGAATGACTTGGTAGCCTAAATTAATAATACTGAAAAATAATTTAAATGGATATAAAAAGATAAACCTAATTTTTCAATTAATTGAAAATTTCTCGACGCACATGTTGTTGCAACTGAAGCACCAATTGATTTAGCTAATTGAATAGCAAATAATCCACAAGCTGAACTTCCACCACAAATAAAAATTTTATTTCCTTTTTTAAGAGATGGAGAAATATTATGAAATAATACTTGATAACTTGTTTCACAAGCCAATGGTATAGCTGCTGCTTCTACCATCGTTAAATTCTTTGGTTTTATAGCAAATGATGATTCATTTGCTCGAACATATTCTGCAAAAGCACCTCCTTCAATACCAACATTACCATATACTTCATCACCAATATGAAGACGATTTACTCCTGAACCTACATCGACAATAACACCTGAAACATCGCTACCAGGTATATGAGGCCATGAATAATTTAAAAGTATGGATAACATTCCAGATAAGATTTTTCAATCGGATGGATTAATTGAAGCTGCATAAACACGAACAAGAATTTCTTTCGAAGATAATTCTCGAGGTACAGGTACATTATCAGATAATGTCAAAACATCACGAATATTTCCAAAATT